ATAAATAAATAATTATACATGAATAAATGAAAATAATAGATAGGAAATAAAAATGAAATGGCCCCTTCCCTCTGTTAGGTCTCTCTCTCTCTCTCTCTCTCTCTATATATATATATATATATATATATATATATATATATATATATATATATATATATATATATATGAATATATGCGTGTTGTATTGTTGAACTTTGTACATGCATATACATGCTCTTCATATAAACATATACAAATGTACATATGTGCTGTGATAAAATATTTCTCTCTTTCAATATAAAGGTATAAACAAAATAAATCAAAGAAAGTAGATAAAAGCTAAATTTAGAAAAACTTATGAAACATTTATTATTTTTTATTACTCTCGTTACATTACTATTAGGTGTGCTAATGTGTGAAGTAAAATTGTCATTACAAACTGGAGAAACCATTGGAAACGTAGATACACTAGACAACTATTTCATCTAGGCTTGTAAATCATCGTTTATTAATCTGTTTCGCCAACACTACAAGTGGTTGAAGAATGTATCTTTAAATCCTATCGACTATGCTATACATTCCACCAAAATATTCCATTCGCGAAAAAACTAACCCGGAATTCAATAAATCTAACTTATCAATATTTTAATCAGATTAGAATTATCATATGCTCACTAGTGACGGTCTCTAAGAGGTAGTTCCTGGAGTTCTAATGAGAAGCAGCGACCAGTGGAGTTCAAACGGATGTGTTGGGAAATAGTAACTCACTGAAGACAATGGTGGACGGTAGAGCAACTTCGCGGATTGGTTGAAGCTAGACATCAACACTGTTAGATGCCCGCTCAGTGGTTTAGAGGTTGAGCGCTCGAGCGCGAGACCAAGATCCCTGGGTTTGAAACCCACACGGTGGGATCGTGGATGCGCACTGCTGAGGAGTCCCACAGCAGAATGAAATGAATGTTTAGTGATTTCAAGTTTTTCATGGTGGTATAGCTTTAATTGACTCATGAATTCAACTACTAAATTATCAATATTTATATGATCGGAAGAGATTAGATTTGAAGATAGTTTTAAAATCATTCATTCAATGATTTCTATATCGTAGTTTACTTCAATTAATATAACTCTCTATATATAATTTTTTATGAGAAACATTTTGTTAAAATGAATGAATTAACTCTAACAGGAAATCGATAATAATTTAATTAGAATACAAGTAATACAAAGCAATTCACTTTGTCATTGAATTATAATCTTACAAATTACTCAATAAATACTTTATTATAGAAGGAAACAAAGAAATTTTTGTCTACATTAATCAAGTTAAATAAAAAAATGAGGGAGAAAAAATCGCATTAAAACTTTATTTGTGTTTCCTTTACCAATAAATGTGTTACATTATTTATTTGTTTTGTATAATTCTCAATTAGTGATAAGAGTTAATGATAAAATCGACCCACTTCTCTGTTGACATTGACAATCTATATAAATAGTTAAGAATACTAATGACCAGAATTAAAATACTATAATCATTTTAATGAATAACCAAAACATTCAGGGAAATTGGCATATATATATATATATATATTCTGTGTCATCAACTAGATGTCTACTAAATTCATCATTATCTCTGTTTTTTCACATGATTGACGAAGAATGATTAGTACCGTTTATTATTACAATATGTAACTTACTTGATTACACAATTACAATATTTGGATTACAATGTCTCAAAATTTATAAATCCGGTGCTCCCAGGTTTTTGATTGTGATCTGGTTTAGATTGACTCATGAAGTTAACTATTAAATATCTTATAATTAGGGTAATATCAAGTGATAACAAACAATTGTTTAATACAGATTTATAAAGTAATTCATTAGACAGTAATTGTTCAATATTTGTGATTTTTACTATTTTTCCATTTTAACATAAATGGTCATTATTTCATAATTATTTTATTGACACACAATGACAAAATCGCTTATAAAACGAACATTCAAACTATAATTTGTTTCCTAGAAGATGTGAAAATGTAAAGGAAGACAGAATTCTTGTATGAAATGATGATTGTAATTTTATTAAGCTTTACATTACCTTATCGCTTAAAATAAGTGGAGTGGGCTCAATTTGACTGACTAAAAATACTGTTAAGATGTATTCCTTAAATATTAATTGCTTCTTCCTATGTCTTATATATATATATATATATATATATATATATATATATATATATATGCATAAATATAGTCTGTTCGAGATGGATTATGACTTTTATAATTAAGGCTTTCTATGAACAAGAGCAACATAACGTTTTTCATGGAATCAAGGTATATAAATTTATATCACTTTTAGATTGTTTTCGTTGCACTGCGTTACAGTTTATAGAAATAAAAGCTTAACATTTAATTAGATATAACTTATTAATCAATACTGGGTAAATGATAAATTATGCTCACTTTCAGTGGGACTGATAATGATTTCCTTTATGAGAGACGAGACGTATCAATAGAGTTCTATGACTGTAATCTTATATTGGTTGTTTGAATTTTATTACATCCAACGATTCATATATTTCAGTACTTTATTTCATTAGTTTACGGCCGAAAAGTTTTTGAGAGACCACCACATCTTATTGTTTTTATTAGCTAGCTTTTCATCAAATTTCATGTTATCATCATTGTTGCAGGTACTGGTTTACCGACTTTTTGTGAAAAATATCAAGTTAAACAGGAAACGTTTTAAATGATTTGCTTTAATAAACTTGTTGCTTTATTAACCAAATATAAACAGTTATTTAACATTACAATAATATGCATCATGAATAGCTTTTGAACGTGTACAGGATATACTCACAGTTTACGAACCAGTTCATGCAGGAATACTTAATGCAAACATGTAGTAACAGTAGAGTTTTGCTTTCATTCTGTGACGTTAACTACTTTTTCTTCTTTTTTTGTTTAAATGCGGTTATAACAAATTTACTTTGAAGAAGTATGTTTAAGGCATAAACGAATATATAATTCAATGACTTTATGCTTTCTCATGATTCAATGAAGAAATTGCAAAAATTGTCTGTATTTATCACTTAAAAGTGTTATTGGTTATTATACAGTTTGTATAGACTGAGGTAATCTACGACTATCTGATATGAACATGTCGTATGTAGCCGAAGATACACGCGTTGGAAAAAAATGCATTTACAGTAGAAGCTAAGGCTTAAAATAAAATCTTTAATGAAACGTACACTCCAATATGTGGAAAAATGACCAACGTGAAATATGTACATCACATCTTATAGACACTAAAACGCTAAGGTTAATTTCACTAATTTGTTTACCAAAACAGTGTTCATGTTTTCACAGGTAAAATAAACCGATAGACATTGTAAATCATGTGTAAAACTATAGAATCAACCTTTCTCTCATACCAGTACGAAATAGTTATCCACTGCCTTCAGGTTTTCAATGATTATTTAACTAAGATCATTCAGTGATATAATCCATGATAGTTACACACCTCATAAACATAATCCATTTAAAAAACATTTTATTCATCTATTTATTCTTTCCAAAATGAAAAGAAAAGCTGTTATGAAGTTAAAATAGGTTTCAAATAGGATTAAATGTCAAATAGCTCCTGATAGTAAAAGTGCTATCAACATAAAACAGAAACATCGTTAAAAAATTGTCAAGAAAACGTTGGGAAATACTAAAAATATACTTAATAGAAAGCCAACTTGTATACTAACCCATTAAGAGATAATTTAAAATGTAAGAATCTGGTAGTCACTTCTTCGATATTCGATACATCATGCTGTCAAACTGTGAATAAAAAAATAATAGTGTTAAGAATAGTAATTGAGTCAGTGAGTCAATTCTTCAGTTTTTGGTGAGATGATTGGCATAACTTGTAAGTAGACAATTAAATACGATTAGATTGTATTTCCTTTTAATAATGTCTTATCTAACGACCTTAACTAGTACTTCCATAACATTTTTGTATGAAAGTAAAAACAAAGTATGAGCATATGAACGTTTTTTCAACAATCCAAATATTTCTAGAAAACTATTGAGTAGTTCAGCTTTTCATCACTTTTACAGCATCAATAATCATGATAAGTGACATAATCTTTTATTACAATTCGGTTACCACATTCTATGTTTGCCAATAGACTAAACAATATATTCTGTACTGGTGTTATTCAGTAAGGTTTTGTATAAGCTATATGACTCTCGGCTATGATGTGTTTTCTGCCACAATAAGATTCAAAAAGAGCATAGAACAAGTTTGACAAGTGAATCAACGTGAATTACCATATTATATAGTCTATATATTTATACTAATTTACTCCTTTCAATAAACATCGTATAATCTGTATAATGCTTGATGGAAATTGGACTTTTTTTCTTGACCTATTATTTAGTTTAATTTGTGCTCAACAAATTGTTATCTTGTTATCTATGTATATCTCAATTTATACAATGTTTCATTCGTTCTAACAATTTTAAATACTTTAGTTACGTCATTAAAAACGATTAATCGGTGGGTTTTAACAAGTCAAGAAAGCTTATATCTATTTTATGAGAGCAAGAACAAAGATTCTAGCAGAATAGCATGAATCCATTTTATTTCGTAGGTTCTCATCAGCTGCTTACAACATGAGAGGGTAAAGTATACTATAGTATAGCGTACTATACTACTATGTCTTCAATATAACTTCCAACCAAATCCTCTCATGTTGTAAGCAGTTGATGAGAACCTACGAAATAAAGTGAATTCATGCTATTCTGCTAGAATCTTTGTTCTTGCTCTTTTCAAAATAATAAAGGGACCTATGTGTATGAGAAATCTATTTTATAATTATGAAGATACATTGAAAATAAATCAATATATAAGTGATTTTTAATTGTGATTCAGTAGTATATGTGTGAATTATTTAAAAGTAATGAGAAAGTCTATCACCATATTTTCTTTTCTATGAAATAAATACAAACAGTTTTCTTAAACTATTTGATTTTAGGCTACAGTCGATACAACATGTACATCAATTAACCAACATTATGATTTACAAACAAATAGAGAATCTGTACATCATGAATGTAAGTTGACTAATTTTATAAAATGAAACTTTTGATAATTTAGATTTTTTTACAATCATTAATGATTAATAAAAAATACATGGTGGACGACGATATTACTATCTAATAGTGAAATAGTAGTTGTTTATTATTTAGACGTAATGAATAACTTCACTTGAAAGTGTTTACTTGTATCTTCCGATTGTTATTTAGCACTGCACTTGATCAGTACGTTGTTGGCATATGTGCATCCTGTGAGGACTGCCTCCATATTGCCTGAAGCCACGAGCTTCATAATGACTGTTCAGTATCGTAGATGAAACCTATTTCTATTTGAATATTACTTTATATTCACACATCCATCTATTCTACAAGGAATTTTCTTAAAAATGGCTCTGTCAAGATTATAAACAACAGCATAATTTGGAATCTTTCTAATAATCATATAAAGAATAATTTACATTAAGCCAGTGTTGTAACTTAATTGTATTTTTCTTATGCTTGAACTTGAAATGATCTAGAAAAATAAAATAAAGAGACATGAAATTAATTAGCTGTGCTTCTTTCATATCTTCATTCTCTATTTACATCTCATAGCGTATAAATAACATTAAAATAACATAGACTTTTATGATATCAATCCGAGTGGATTTTGAAAATTGTTGAATTTTAATAGTTTAAATCACGAATTGATCTTAGCTAGATCACCTTTAGGAACCTGGAAGCACTGAATGACTGTTTCATTCCAGGATGGCGCTCCTCAGAAATACTCATTCTCGACCCTGCAATTGGGATTCAAACCTTCACTCTCTAAACCACTGGGCTGTCATCCGATGGCGTTAAGGTCTAACTTCAATCGGATTACTGTAGTGCTCAACTCTCATCTATTGCATGGGATAAATAACTGTCTCACATTCAAAATAGCTGAATTCCACTGTCCATGGCTACTCACCAAAACTCCAGGAGTTGCATCTTGAAGCAAGTTACTAGTGAGCATATATCTATTATCAGTATAAGGGAATTTATGAAGATTGCGAAATTTTCATTACTTAAATCATAAACTAATCTTAGCTAGATGGCCTGTGCTTCCAGGTTTTCAGTGGCAGTTTATCTACGATCACATTATTGAAATAAAAATATCAAAGGAGAGAATTATAAATTGAATTACAAATTTAACAAAGCTACACTGAAGTATATTTGTGGTTATACATCTCTAGTGATTATTATACAGGAATGTAAATCTGTTTAATTTAAAACAATGAACACGATAGTGGATCAACGAGTTTCTTTCGTTCTAATCTGTTTTAATTGACATTCTTCAAACTCAGTACTGTATATAAGTAGCCAGCCGAAGTTAAAATGGAGCCTAGTAATTTCTATAAAACTAAATCACCAATTAACTACAACAGTCCATCATGTACAAAACACAGGCAATAGTCTTCTTAGTATACAATTTGTGTGATCATATATTGATTTATCTTTAACATTAAAACAGTCTGGTCTACACAATCTCCATTTTTTCAACTATTTTTAGATTCACTATTACCAGCAAGTGTAATCACCTCCAATGAAACACACAGTGCTTATCTTGCTCCTTATTATCAAGAACTTTATTGTCCAACATTAAAGCAAAATTATAAATCTATCTTACGTTCACAAGGACCATTCGTTTCAACACCGACAAATACCCAGGCTTTTTCAGGTTCGAAGACTGATCAAATCAACTTCACTATGTTACAAAAACCTTCTGTATCAAATGAAGGCGTTAAGTTGAGAACATTTATTCGTACAAATTCAATGAATAGGAAATATATCGATCATGCAAATATGGTAGATAATAATTATATAAATCCATTAAAAGATAATCAGAATGTTTATCATATGGAAACACTTAATCCAACACAAGCTACGAACAAATCTATGAAGAATAAAACTTATACCTTATTGGTAAGGCCATCTTTAAACAATGCACAATCATGTACAGTGGAGACCAAAACATGTTCTGATGACTTTCAACAACAACCAAACATTGTAAATAATAGTAATGATGTGACATTATCAAACCAGAAATTATTAAACAATAGTTCAGCAGTATCTAACTTAAATGAGATGAAACCAGCAGGATGTGTTTTAATGTCAGGAAATGAACATTCCACTTGCATAGAATGTGAACATTACAAAGATCGAAATCCCACTACGTCTACATTGTGATGAATATGAAATAACAGAAGAATATTTATGTCTATCCCTAACTTTGATCATTTTTCTTTGGTTTCATTTTATTTCTCCAAAAAATGTGTAGAATATAATTACAGTTATATGAGACCAGTTAACTTGTATTAATTAATGTATAGTTAAATATCTAACTATTCAACAGAACTCCAATAAAATTGTGATGAATTCCAAGCCCTTCATAAGTTTACTACTATAAGCATCGTCTAATTTTTATTGTTACACTATTTACAGACATACGGTATCCAAGTGTTCTCACTAGTTGTAGGAACAGAAGTACTGATTAATTACTAAGTGAATAATAGTAGAAACACCTTGTTGATATGCGATACCCAAAACAAAATCTACATCCATGGTTATTATCACCGAAACTGCCCTAACATTGAACGAGTATACCACGATATTAAGTTACTTAGTCTAGTCCTCGAATTTCAACTTCATGGATAAAAATCTCGATCAATACTATGAACTATTACTCATCAACTAATTGGTGCATACGCTTCATTAAAGTCGGTTTTAAAGAAGAAGTATACTTCGAAAAATAATGGACCTATTCTACTAATTATATTTATCTACAAAAAAATATTACAATATCCCGTTATGTTTAGAAGAGTTGAAAAACCTATCCCCGGGTATAATGTATTTTGTAGAATATCTTTAAAAGTAATTTCAAATCAAATATTTCTTAATGATATATGCAGAAATAACACTCTTATAAATTTGTTTATTTACTGAAATTAGCAGATATTGAACACATTTATTTGATAACAAAAGAATAAATATACTTTGAAAAAAATAAACTATTGATAATCATGACAACAACTGAGATATAGCTTTTAAGTACGTTAGTGACTAGTATGAAGATAAGCTTTCTAAAACCTTGAAATATTCATTAAATCACTTAATTTTAAGTTTGAAAATTATGTGATTGTATGTTATCTCATAAATATATGGCACTGAAAACTAATTATTTTACTTATGTTTTAAGTTAGATACGCTGAGCCATGTGCATAACAGCCTATGAATCTAAGTTTTATTCTTTCCAACACCCATCAGTAAGGTGAACCTTAAATCCTGAGGGGATAGATGTTTCTCATAGGAATTGAACTCTCATCAACTTTGATCACAGATAGAGACGTTACCACTGAGTTATGTGTTTGATGAAGGGTCAAATCCCATAGGCGATGCCAGTCTTCTTAAGGATGTAAGTCCATCCTACTGATAAATGCCGACCGAATCGTGGTCTGAGTACAGAACTTCCTATTAAATGTTTATAATAATATTTCTAAGTAATGCCTTATGGGAACGAAGTCATTTTTTCAAAATTACATAGCGACAATAGTCAAATATCTTATAATACTGGTTTAGATATGCTTCTAGCTGAAGCAGTAAGAGCATGTTGTTGAGTTTGTATATTAATTTATAACAAAATGAAATGTACCTTTTGAAAGTTAATCATAGCATTCTAAAAGCATAGTCCTTTGTTCAAGTGTTAGTAACTATATTACACTTGTCTATGAACACTTCCCAATAGAGCTGTTACCGATAATAACGAGTAACGTTCCTGGGATTTCAATGGCAGACATCACATTTGATTAATAGTATTTTTCACTGTGAGTACAAAACATTGATAACAAATATTTTTTTTATTAAAATAGTCAGAGTAGTATTATACTTGCGTGAACTATCTGAAAATAGAAATTCTAATTACCTCATATCACGTAATTTAAAATGACCTTATATTATAGTAAATAATTATTCTGAATTTTAAAAAAAATTCAAATACAGCTTCGATTGTTTCCATATTGGCTAGACTGCTTCCGATGATTGTACTTGACAAAATAATTCCCGCATATAGGGATGGTATGAAATAAATTAGTATACAGAATTAAAACCATCCAATTTGAAGCTAATAATTCCATCACCTTTAAAGGAAATACGAAATATAATAGGGTGTAACCTAAAATTCCTTAACATGTAGGAGTTAATTGTAACATTTATGTAATAAAGTTTGCTAGGTAAGATTACCATCTGAAAATTCAGCCACTTACTAAGATCAAAAGAGGATTATACATTAGTGCGAGGAAATAGAATTAGGATTAACAGTTAGGAGTTGGGGTCAGTAATTAGAGTTACGGTTTCCATCACGAACTGACATAAGCGATAATGCCAAAATAATACTTAAACATACAGAAGAATGAATGTCGCTCCCGAATCCCAGACGTGATATGTTAAATCTCATAGTTTTGTCCATAAATTATAGTCTCCCTGTTTTCTATTATGTGATGAAGTAGTTGAATCAAAAGCTCTGATATTGTGATAACTACCTAAAAACGTAGTAATTTGTACAATATGTTTTATCTGTTAATTAGGCATTTATGTTAGAATTTGCAAGACATATTCTGTTACAAAGAGAGTGCTTTCGAGATTAGACACGTTAAGTTTTTAGGTGTCTAGAATTAAATAATAACACTTGAATAAACCTAATATTGCGATCACATTTGGCAGAGCTGAACTATATCGAATGGTTTTTGATAAAGAAAAGGCTTCCAAGACGAACATTATTTTAATTCTGGCAATGTTGTGCCTATAATGATATTTGTCAAAACGGGTTTTAGTACTATAATCCAAAACGGTAACATCATTCTATCCATTCATAAAGTAAGGCATATAGAATAAATTTAAAAGCTACTTAAGAGAGAATAAACTAAAAGCTGATTGTCATGTATAATAAAGATTTCCCTGAATCGAATCCACTGATGTAGCTAGCATATCATCAACCTAGGTGGTTAGATTTTGTCAACAGGAGACCCTTCTGTAATCTTGATAGTGTTAATGCTCCCAGGAGGATTCGATTCTGTGCCACCCACCCTTACATTTAGAAACGTTACCAATGACCTACTGTGGAACTATTTTGACTTGTTGGGCAGTCAGCGGTAGTTGACAGGTTTTCCCATCAATGTGATCCGATCAGTGCCAAGAAGTAATTAACAAGTATGACATTGATCACAACACAAAGTTCCTTTTGCATCAACAGATGACATCAATGAAAGAACTATTGAGAAGTCATAGTTTATGGTTAATAACATAAAGATCTGACCAAATTAACAACCTATAAATATATGGTTAGATTCAATATGAATTGAGATTGTACACTTTTGAGAATTTCCAAACTACTACCTACCGGCTATTCACAACTTTCTAATTTTCAATAGGTCTCTAATTTCTATCAGTCCATGATGAAAACTAACTGTTAAACAAGATTATTATAATTATATTTTGTTTATAATAAGAATAGTTTACAGTTTTATTAAAGGTCCTATTCATCCATTTCACCCTTACATAGGTATATTTTAATTTATTGACATGTTCAATCTAATGGGTAGTTTAACCGTAAGCACTAAGTGTTACATTTAATATAACGATGACTTTTTCAGATATAAATTAGTTTGTTTTTATATATTGTTATTCTCACTAAACAAATATCAGTTAAATTTCTTTAAATAATATACATAAAACAAAGTTGTTTTAAAACAAAAATAAAATGAGGACATTTGAATCGATGAGAGAAAAAAAATGGAAATAAGAGAAAGCAATAAATTCATGATACATGATATAAATTTTATTGACAGAATGAGAAAAAGGAACAAATATAGTTAAAGGCGAATCCGGTCAACCATATTCAGTCAACATTTCATATTTTATACCGATTCATACAGCCAGCCAATCTCTAGTTACAGGCTAATGAATTTCAATAAATTAAGGTATTTTTGAAAAATAAAATAAACTTTAAATCCTCTTTAGTTAGTCAATATTTTTGGTAAAGAAATTTATAATTAGATTAGAAAATTGAGAACATTGGTTAAAGTAGCATGAATATAGGCTACTTCCTATTATCATACGGTATTGTGTTGTGTAGTGAAGCAATGATGTTCTAGATTTGTTATTTTTCTATTTAATAATCATCATCAATATTACACACATACAAACTAGAATGTTTTCTTAACATCAGGAAATCATTGATTATAATTTGTAAGTGTTTTTACCTACCCGTTAATGTTAAGGCTTTCGGTTGATCCGGCTACCAGGTCTAGAGTAGGACTTAACATGTCATCTACTCTATTGCTAGCTAAAATTCAAATTCACTAAAATCACTGATTCTGTCTTGTACTTTACTAAGAGAAACATAAAAACTCACTAATCATTATTACCATTTTTTCTGAATTTGAAGCATCAACTGATTATTTAAACTATCCTACTTTTAATCACTAATTTGCAAGCTGGACTACTTGGGTTTAAGCAGCCTAACAATATCATCATATCACTAATGGAAAAAAAGATGACTCAAACATGTACAAAATATTGTACATGATAACTGAGTTCCTTATCAAATATAAAGTATTTCATGAACATCCGGTTGAAGTAATTTTTTTAAAAATTGTTTTACATCAATATTGTTTTAAAGTAATGCCATCAAAGTATTTGTAAAACAATTTGCTGAACGGAATGTGTAATTCGATTGTGTGTAGATTTGAGTGAATTCTATCAGTCTTTTGTTTACATTATTCAGTATGTTGACTCATTATGTGTAAAATCCACTTAATTCACCAGGTTCTAATTTTTGTATATCAGTAACGCAATAAGTTATTATCAATACATCTTTCTTCTCAACTATCTGCAGTTGCGTCGAAAGAGTTCAAAATTTCCGTCCGCTCTGAATTTCACTATTTATGTTAGGATTGAATATGAAACCCATAGTAGTTGTTCTAATATTTATTCATTATAGAATATAGCTTATTAAGCAATGGCTATTTCATAAATAAAAATAATTCTTAGTTGTAAAATGTTCCAGAGTGTTATATCTCGAGCTTAGATTTTACTATACCGCGTACTAGAAAATTCGAGCGTTGTTACACTCCAAATTGCAAGACGAGGGAGAAAGAATTTTATTCCAAACAGTGTCAAATATGGTACAAAACTCTCAGGTATTTACAGTCTTTAGTAAAAGCGAAATCATCATTACAGTCACCCAATCTGCATACAGTGGATTTTAGCATTTGTCCAATAGGGAGGCTGCAAGTCGAGATTCTGGAATATTCTTCAAAAAAGTGATTAGATGGAACGTCTTCAGCTCTTTCTGAGCTTCTTAGGGCTATCTTGAGTTCACTTAGG